AAAATTACTGTGACTGGAATTAGTAACTATTTCCATAGCAAGTAAGTTCTACTCTTCTTTCTCTGATTATAGACACTAGATAAAGAATATGTCTACATGTTTAAATTGCTTCAACTGGCAGTCTGAAAGTGACTGTGCTTCAAAGAACCTCTATTCTTCTGATTGTCTAGCTCTGGGTCCTCACCCCCGTGTCTCCCATTTACTTACCTTGCATCTTGAGGCTGAAAGAAAGTTTAAAACAAATCACTTATTGAGAACCGACTATGCATAGGCACCAAACTAGAAGCGTTACAGATGTTTTCCATTTGAGTCTCACAATAGCTTATTGTGGGGCATATTATTATTTCTATTTATGATGAAATCGAGACTCAGAGACAATTTGTAGCTGATCCATAGACAAACAGCCAGTAAATGGCATAGTGAGAATTCAAATCCAGGTCCACTGAATACAAAATCCACACTCTAAACCAACTCACCAAATGTTCATTTAAAGACAAGAACGTGTATAGGGGAGAATATTTCCTTTTAAAGTTTATTTCTCTACATATATTTCTGTAGCACACCTTGTTCATGTTCCTTTTCCAATATTATACACTCACCCCCTGACCTCTGCATACCTTCCAGTCAACAGTTCCCACAATGACCCACCAATTCAATTTATTGTATTGCCCTTGAGCATTGTCATAGTCTTACCAGTATCCCCTCTGGCTTTTAGCTATTAAGTGATGTATGAACCCAGAAGCCCAGCACCCACTGCCTGAGCTCCCCACAGGTTGGATTAAAACTGGGTCTTCATAGGAACGCTCACTCTTGGGTTTTATTCACCTCCCTGTCCTGCTTCACCCTTTTATCCCTCGTTGGTCTCCCCTTGGAGCATTTCCGTAATAAACCACTTGCACCTGAATTCTTGGTTCAATATCATTTTGTAAGAGGCACTTAAATAAGTCAAGATATAGAAAGGAATAAAAGAGGAAAGTACTAATAAAGTCACTTTTGTATTTTGGACTTCTGAGTCAAGCTGTATATTTTTAAAAATAATTTTGTTGTTTATTGCAAAGTAATACATGTTCATTGTAAAAAAGAAATAGAAAGTATAGATAAATCAAAACAAGACAATAAAACGCAATAAGTAATTCTACAACCTAGAAAAATTACAATTTATCTGTGTTGTTGAATATTTACAATTCTGAGATTACTATACTATTTATACTGATTTTTTAAATGTAACTTTAACAGATTATCTTTTTATGCCAGGAAAATTTTCTCTACAAAATTTTTTTATGCTTATGTAGTATTCTGGAGTAGAAAGTGTGTGTGTGTGTGTGTGCAGGGGGGCTGGAACCAAGCTTCCAGGTGATGTTGATGCTGTTGTTCCATGCACCACTTTTTGAATAACATTGATGACATTATAAGGCCACCAAGGAACTTCAGCTTTTCTCTGTTTGGGTTTAGTTGTTAAACTCAGAAAAAAGAGAATTAATAAGACTTGACATTAATGCTTTCTCTTGGTTTATGTTTGCAAATGGCTAGAGATGACCACAGAACACCACTACATATAAAACTGGCATTTAGAAAGTATACTCATTATGGTGACAGCAGAAAATTATAGCCTCTGAAAATCTGCTGTCGTAGACTCATTTTGTGTGTTCCTGAATAAAACCATGGGTAGGTATTTTTCTTCACATTCAGGGGTCCTTTAATTATTTTAGGTAACAAAATGTCATGTCCTCAGGAACCAGCTTGAAGGGGCTTCTTGGCCAAATCTAGGATAATCTGAGCATCAAAATAATGAAAACAAGGGACTATAACCCATTAAACAACAACAACAACAACAAAAAAGAATGCATGAGTCTATACTGATTCAAACACATAAATTAATAGGAAAGAAGAGAAAGTTCGGCTTAATGGTGGAAAGTCAACTGAAAAATGTAGAATGAATGATCAAATTAGAAAATCTTGGCAACTATCACTGTAATACTTATTTCAGGCATGTTTATTCATAAATGCTAAAAGTAAGGGATGAGAGTTATGGGACTAACAGGAAATTTACAGTTTCAAAGGCTCTATTCATAAAATACATGAGTACAAAGGGAAAAATAATAACTTTACAGTGGAGAAATCAGGTAGATACTGCTTTAACCAAGGGATTAAAGTTTGTAAAGTTTATATCACATTCAACATCAGGTGCCCCTTATAATTTGTACTGTGAAGGGCCTATGGTATTCCTGCCTGTAATGCATCACCTAAAACTATTTTTGAGTACATACAAGACAAATCAAAATTGAGGGAAATTTTTGTGCCCTGGCAGGTAGCTCAATTGGTTGGAGCATTGTCCTGGTATGCCAAGTTTGCAGGTTCAGTACCTGGTCAGGGCACACACAAGAAGTAACCAATGAATGTATAAACAAGCTGAACAATGAATTGATCTCTTCCTCTCCCTCCCTTCCTCTCTCTAAAGATCAATAAAAATTGAGGGACATTGTACAAAATAACTGGCCTGAATTCTTCTAATATACCAATGTCATTGAAAACAAGCAACAAGAGACCAAAGAGATGTGACAATAGAATGCAGCCTGTGATCTGGGATTTTATTTTGCTCTGTAGAATATTACTGGGACAAATAGCAAAATAAGGTCTATACACTAAACATGTAGTTAATTCAAGTATTAATTTCCTAATTGACAATTGTAGTATAGTTATGTAAGAGAATGTTCTTGTTTTATGGAAAAATATGAAAATTTACAGGTTTTAAACTGGCAATAGTACAGAAAAAAATTACACATATCATATGTATATGTAAAGAAAGAAAGAGATAAAGTGGATTGTTGACATTTATGTAATCTGGGTAAAGAATATGCAGGACTTCTTTGTGCAATTCTTGCAATTTTTTTGTAAGTCTGACATTAAGCCAAAATTACAAATTGAAGAAACAGATCAAAAAAACTTCATAAAACAAAATTAAGTTCTAATAGCACATGCCCAGGCTCCATATTATAAAATGCATAAGCAATCCAGCTCAAGCTTGCCTTGGAAAAAGATGGGCCTGAATAGCTATTTCACTCACTCATCCAGCCTCCTCTCAGACTCACCATCTTGTTAACATGGAAAGTGAGGAAGCAGTTTAAAGGAAAGGGATTTTATGTACATGTCTGACAGAGCTGTAACCTGGAGTTGTGCCCTCTGGTAAGGCAGACTGTAAAGTGGACTCTTGCTGTCATTGGGGCTTTTGTGGATATTTTTGGAACTCTTGCCCAGACCTCATTGCATCTCCTGGTATGGGGAATGCCTTCACTCGCTTTTTACTTTGTAGTACACCTTAAGTAGTGGGCAGCTTTATGTCTCAATCGGGCTATGTTATAGAACCCAGTTACCCAGACATTAACTGTAGGTGTTGCTGTGAAGGAATTATGTAATATACATGCAACTAACACCTACAATTAGTTGACTTTATGTAAAGGAGATTATCCTGAATAATCTCGGTGGGTCTGATCCCATCAGTTGGCCCCCAGAGTAGAACCTAGGCTTCCCTGAGAAAGAAGACATTTCACTTGTGAACAGCAGGGACATCTCTTGTCTAACAGTTTTTGGCCTGTCCTTCCTGGTGGCCTGCCTGACCAGTTCCACAATTTTGTAAGTCAAGTCCTTGCAATCTACCCGTCTATCTTTCTATCTGTTTATCTATCTATTGTCTATCTATCTATATCTAATCTATCCTATTGGTTCTATTTCTTCAGTAGAACCATGACATACCATTTTCCCAAGTATGAGTCAGGCCCCAGACCCAAATTCCCCAGACACTTGTAAGGTTTTACAGTGGATTTCTTAAATCTGCCTTTCTCCCTTGTCCCACATATACTCGCCTTAAGGAAAAGTCATATATAATATCTGGTCATTCCCTATCGTATATATTTTTATGGCATCTGAAAATTTTGTGTAAAGTATTGTATGAATACCACTTGAACTGCTTCTCAAATGCTTAAGACCCTGGGGACAAATCCTCTACGTTAGGGAAATGTTTAATTTGTTGCAAACAGAACCTAAGGGAATGAATTTCAAAAATATTTGCTAGGGAACTTAGAATCCTAATACCATAGATGTTGTATTAGTTTGGGTCCTTAAAGAAGGAGCCTTGAGACGAGAATTTAGGTATGAGTATTTGGGACGTGATCTCAACAAAGACCAGAAGGGTTGGAGAAAAGGGAGAAAATAGGAAAGGAAAGGTGGCCGAGAATGGGTGTGTTATCACACAAATCACCACTGTGGGCATCTCGATCTTAATCCCCCTGCAGAGCTCTAGAAGTCAATGAGAACATGTCCCTTAGCATAAATTCACTGAAAGGTTGAGGGAGCTGGGGGGTTAATACACTGCATCTGTTCAGTCACTGCTGGAGGGCTGCTTCCAGGAGGTGCTCGTGACCAGGTACTTTGGCCCCTACTGTACAAGTTCAAGCATCAGAGGCTGCATTCCAGCTACTGGAAATCAGGCCTGAGAATGCCCCAATCCCAAAGCAGAGGGGAAATGGCTGGAGCGCTGACAGTGTCTGCCAGAGGTGTCACAGTTTACTTAACACGATACACATAACTTGCGTGAGAAAAAATTTCTTCCTTAATGGACTCAAAACTCCTCTTTCTTAATATTTAATAGTTTTCATCAACTTCTGGAAATACATCTTTAGCAAACAAAATGGTGTACATTTGGTAATTTTTTTGACAATAAAGTGATGTTTATAACCAAAATAACATTTATTCCACTACAATCTTAAAGAAGATTGGGGAATTTATCCAGATGCAATGCAATGCAATTGACATGCAATTCGTTGCAAAATAAAACACATCTTCGCAGACAGCTCATAACATTTATAGTTGTTAAAGCAAAAACAAATATTTGGTTACAAATACATAATTTGTGGATTGCTTTAGCTTTGATGGAAATATCTACTTTCTCCAAACTTTGACCTTTGGGTCTCGAAATGTTTAACCCAAGATGCAACTTCTGTGATTTAGTTCTTGAAAGCAGCTTCCAATGCGCGAGCTTTCTCTGTGATGTTCTTCTGAAAGGGCATCATGAAGTCTTCAAAGTCCACCTCATAAGTGAACCTCTCCCTCCTCAGCTCCCTCTGCCTGATCAGCTCTGCCGTTGTGGCTTCAGGACTCCAGGTCTTAAACAAACAACCACAACCAGAGCAGGTATGAGTATGACAGCAAATAAACATGCCATTGCCAGAGAATCTTCAATATGGTTAATTTAAAACTATCAAATTTACTTCTAAATCTATGTTAACTCTTTTTTCCTTTTCCTTTTACATGATGTCAGTGGTTACATGGGCATCGCTATTTCTGATGATGACTATCTAGACAACTGAAGTGCTGTTTAGTTACCTCTGTGATGACCTTTAGGCCAGCTGCTGTTCATTTTTAGGATGTCAAAACCAGAAAGCGATGGAATTAGAAGATCATTTGGGTTTACTACCATTATGTCTTATGGGTAAATCAAACTTATTTTCATAGTAGAAGGCAGAGAAAACTGGCAGTCTCTTTTTCAGCATGGTTTGATAGGCATTGGCAAGATCACTCTTATTCTCCAAAGATGCCTCTACCTCTAATTGTAGATGCTTTAGACAACTACTCAATACACCCACTCTTAATTAGTGGGAAGCCCCTACAAATTAAGGAGTTGCTGGTAGCAAGTAAAAGGAGGAAGGGTTGCATCTAAGGTACTAAGAAAAAGTGTCTATAGCACTTGGTGACTAAATGGCTATAGGGAATGATATTGACCAAAGAAGACTTTAGTCTTTGAAGGAAAATGAAAATGTCAATACAGAAATACTAACAGAAGAAGCCAGATAACTTGGAGCCAAAAAGGATGGACTTAATGAGTCAGAAGCGGCAGGACCTGGCAAAAGGACGCCTTTAAATAGTAACTATGAAAAATAACCTTCGGACATTTGTTTGGGTGTTTTGCATGAATAGTATTTGAAAAATGACATTACGAATTTATACCACATTATGAACTCTTTCCAAAGTACTTACCCTCCGTGGAATAAATGTGATATCTACTTTCTTGGTATAACCACTGGTAATCAATGAATTGAGATGAACCACATTACCCTTACGCATATTCTTTTCCTCCAATATGGGAGGTACAGTATAAACTGATGAAAGTGGTTCCTGGAAGCAAACAGAAAAAAAAAACCCTATCAATTTCATAAACCTATATACACTCTAATATTATAAGTTGTTCTACATTACACTCAGAAGCCAGAAAAATAATAACTAAAAATGCTACTACATAACTTGAAATGAAATAGAATATTATTTTAACTTTGGGTAGGGAGAAATAATTAGTTTGCCTTACTCTACTTAGTAGTTTCAGGGGCAGATCTCGTAAGTTTTCAAGATATCCATCCTTGACGTTTTCTTCCATTATTTTTTCAAATAAATTTTCAATTTCTTTCTCTTCCTCTTCTCCTTCTGGCATTCCTATCATTCAGATGGTGGCACATTTGGAGATTTCCCAGAGTCTTCTTATTCTCTCCTTGTTGTTTTGAATTCTCATCTCTTCATTCTGTACTCATTGACTGTTTTTTTTCCTTCTTTATGTTCGAATTAGTTGATATGAACCCCAGCTTCCTTCCCATCACTGTTGGTTCCCTGTGGATTTTTTCTTTATTTCATTTATTGTAGCCTTAATTTCTTACCTTATGCATTTGCCATACTCAGTGATTTCTCTGAGCATCCTTATCACTAGTCTTTTGAACTCTGCACCTGATATGTTGGCTATCTCTGTTTCCCTTAGTTATTTTTTGTGGAATTTTGATCTGTTCTTTCATTTGGGCCACATTTCTTTGTCTCCTTAGTTTGGCAGCCTCCCTGTGTTTATTTCTCTGTGTTAGGTAGAGCCGTCTTGGCATACCTGTTATGTTGCAAGGGGCAGAGCCTCAGGTATTGGCGATGGTGGAGCAGCCCACTTCGCCACTTTGTGGTGCTGTATGTGAGGGAGGGGTCGGAGAGGGGACAGTGCCACTTACTCGGCTCTTACTCTGTTTTCAATCACTTCCCCTCCTTTCCCACAAGTGACTGATGCCCTTCTAGCAGCTGCCCTGGTGCTGAATCCCAGAGTGGGTGGGTCCTAGGATGGTGTGGATCCTTTAAACGGACTCTCCTGAGAGACTGGCAGTTTCTTCCACTGTATCAGCCCCCACTGGTTTTTATTGCCAGAAATTATGAGGCTTTATTTTTCCTGGTGCTGGGACTCTGGGCTGTGTGGTCTAGCCTGGGGCTGGGATCACTCGCTCCCCAGTTGTCCCTTGTAGTTTTTATCTGCTACACGAGAGTGTGGGACCACTCATTCTGCCAGCCATTGCTGCTGCTACCTTGCCTCTGCCACATTGCATCCTCTCCACCCTGGCTCCCCAGCTCTGTCCCTCCTACCAATCTGGATGAATAGTTCTTTAAATCCTTAGTTGTTGGACTTCCATATAGTTCAATTTTCTGGCAGTACTGCGTGTTTTTTTTTTGAGGTTAGTTGTGATCCATCTTAATCTTGTCATCCATGTTTGTTACTCTCTACTATCTGACTACAATCCCTTCACTCTGTCCACTTCCTACTACCTACATTATTTTTTTCCACTTGATAATTTTAAAGCTTTTCCTTCTTAAATTTCATCCCTTGTCAGGTGTCTGCAAGAATCTCCCAGGGATCTTCTTGCTCCTCTAAAAGAAGCGTCTAGCCTAGAAATGCATCTGGAGCTTCCCTGCTAATGACAAAGCCTGGATGTCTCAGAAATCACCCTAAGCAATAACCTCAAACTTCTCCTGATAGTTTAGAGGCATCCATGCTACTCCAGATTACCAGGATCAGTCAGTTTGGTGCTTTAAACCATCTAGAGTCATATTGCATGATATCCAATGTTACAAGTGTCCCCATGTCCCAGGGTTCCGTGGTAGTCATTAAAATTCCTTGGGCAGGGGTAGTATAAGATGAGTAATGAAAGAATATAAGACCAAAATGAAGGAAAAACATGCTTTACTTCATTCCTCATAAGGGTTATTCTCCTTCCCTTTAGGGCTATCTCATCAAATCTGTATAATTCAGGACCAAATATACATATAATATATACATATATATCATATACAAATATGTATATATCCAATATCAGTTCTTTTTTCAACATTCTAGTTGTATTTGGTGAACCAACTTGGTTTTTGTACAGATTCTGTTTGCAACAAATACTTACTAGATTTTTCAGTAATGGTAATTTTCTTGCTAGGTTTTTAGGAAAGTGTTCCATAATAGTGCTGAAAATACAGACTGCTTATTATTTGGCCCATGTTGTGTAAAAGTATGTAACAATGCCCCATTCCCCAACAAGTTTTTAAGACATTTCTATTACTAATGGGGAACCAATTGCTTTTCTTACCTCTTCTTTCTTACTTTCAGTACCTTCAGTTTTCACTCTAAGAGGTGGCTTGCCTTTCAGTTTTTGGTTTTCTGCTGGTTTTGGCAAGTTATCTAGCTTTTCTTTAATCAAATCAATAACTCTATAGTCAGCATATGCCTTTGCAATATCCATGGCAGTGTGCCCTGTTTAAAACATAAATTAAGAGCTATAATAAGCATATCAACAATAAACCATGTAGAAAAACCTTAGCACATCAGCCCTAAGCATGTGTTAGTATGGGTATTTCTAAAGCAAATGGTATGTGTAAGGTCACAGAGCTAGATCAAACATTCTCAAAGGTGGGCCCCGCTCTAAAATATCTTAATAAAAATGCCATTTACTGGCAAAACATTGTTTTCTTATTAATTTTTTGAGCATGTATCTTAAAAAGTCAATAGGAAATAGTGGCAGATTACATTTTGGATATCTAATTGCTGGTTCTTGTTCCACACAGCACATTTCCTTTCATTTGAAAATTTTATGTTGTCTTCCCCTTTCCATCATGTAAGGAGGTATATTTTAAAAGGCCTGGGGAACCTGATGGTCACAAGTGCTCTATGCAGGTGGCTAGGATTTATGGCACCAGCAATGTCCTCAGGCAGGCCTAGCACAATGCTACCCATGCCTCAGAGATAGCCTGGAGCAGCCAGAGGTATAATGCTCTTCTGTCAAAGGAAGCAATGAGTTCCACGACAAGAAAAGGACACCTGGAAGCAAGGAGCTCAAATATTTATCAAATGAATTTTTATTCTTCATCTGTGATATTTATAAGGTAGGCCTTCCATTTACCTCCTAGGGAGAGCCTCAGTTCAGAAATGACTTTGTCCAGCTTTAGAAGAAATCCAAATGCACAGGTTTTAAACTATGCCAGCTATTAGAGACTGATGGTTAAAACAATCTGATAACTAACTCAAGGCATGGTCTGCACACTGGGGACATCCACAAACAAAATGGTTACTGGCTCACAATGACATAAGCTCAGGAATTAAGAGTAAGTATTTAGAAATTTGCCTAGCAATTTGATAGATGAGTATTCTGTTATTTGAATCTAATTTTAAGAGTTTGAGCTTGTATTTTGGGGGCCTTTTTTTCACTTCATTTTTCCTAGTAAATCATTTTTTATTGTACTTTGAAAAAGCATCAGTCCATGAAAGATTGTAAATATAAAGAATTGGCCTTTTAACACTAGTGATTTGCAAAGAACTGAGTATAAAACAAACTTCCATAACATGTAACTCAGGCTTATGTTTGCAGCAGTAATTCAGGCGAAAATGTGGCCCCACAAGAGTAGAATCAGATGGGGTTTGAAATCAAACATAAATCCTCCTTTTCTAACCCTAACCATCAATAAGATGAACACATACCTTTTCTATTTTCCAACTGGAATTTAGCACCAATATCAAGTAGGTATTTGACAGTATCCAGTCTACAGCTCTCAATGGCTCTACTTAAAGGAGTTGAGTTGTTCATTGAAACTGCATCAATCATGGCTCCAGATTTAACAAGAAGCTCAACAATATCTTGTTGGCCTGCATGGCATGCAAAATGAAGCGGAGTCCACAGAAAATTATCTGTTGCATTAATGTTAGCCCTAAAAGATAAGATAGATGCACAAGATAAAAATATGGGTTATTCCACACACTGGAGGCTAAAAATGCTAAGTAAGCCTTCACAGAATTTTATCAACTTGTTCAACTGTAAACCAAGAAAGCTCTGAGTAAAGTTAAATTCTGTGTCATAATTTTTCTTGACAAGTGTTCTGCGTTATATGGTAGTCTTAATTTTGTGTACATATATACATTTTGTTTAGTTTTAAATGGCACTAAAGGTCCTAGGGGTTATGATTTTACAAAGGTTAAAAATCAAAAATTGTAAAACTGAATCCAATGAAGATAAAAGCTGACAGGAAATAGGTTATATTACTCCATTTTTGTGTCTATTTCAGCATGTTACAAATTTTTTAAATGCACCTTCATTAAAATTCTAAGCATTATTTTAAATTTTAGTCCCTTTTAAAGATTCACTGCCCAAAAGTTTGAATCCTTATAGTTGCTTTATTCTCTCTCCTGATAATATACTAATTTGAATTCTTTTTTTGACATAATTTATAGTAATAACAATGATTTTTCTCAAGTATGCAATTACTGTGCTAACAAGTGCCTTACACATTTTAACTAATTTTATCTTCAGTAAATTCTGTGACCTGAGTCCCATTAGAGGCCCATTATTAAAATGAGAAACTGAGGCACAAAAAAATTAAGAAACTTATCCCAGGTTATTTAGCTATGGTAAAAGGACTTAAACCCAAGTCATTGCTTTATATTAAAAAGTTAAATGAAAAATTATGCTTTGATATTTCAAAGATATTTACACAGTAACTAAGGAAAAGATTGCTATCTCTGGAAAAGGGAATCGAACATGTCCTCAGTCATTATAGCCAACCTCTCACTTTTTGGACTTTGTTGAGATTTCCCTACACACACAAAAAGAGGCAGATTAAAAAGTGACTCCATGCAAAATGAATAACTTCTAGAGATCTATTGTACAATATTCTCATTATAGTTAATAATACTATATTGGACACTTAATATTTGTTAAGAGGCTAAATTTCATGTAATGTTCTTACCACGATAATTTTTTTTTAAGTTTTAAACAAAATAGAATAAAATGAAAAGCAACTCCACACCAACTAGGTAAGGCTTTGAGACCAAAATAACTTCTTTTGGGAGGACAGTGATACCCAATCAGAAGTCATCTTCTACTCCCAGAGTGAAAACGTCTTGGCCTTCACTTTGTGCATAGTTGTTACTGGCAAGCCACTCTGTGTACACACACTCTTGTTCCCATTAGCCTGGTTTCCCATATAAGATCTACCTATAGTCTAGGCTTCAGGAGTGAAGCACTTTCATGTGCTATTAAAATTCTGCAGTTGAATGTATCTTAGCTTTCCTTTCATTTCCTTGAAATATAAAGACTCATGAAAATTTAAACCCCACCCAACCAAAAACATACCCTTTTTCAAGAAGAAACTTGACCACATCTATGTTTCCACTTGCACAAGCAGTCATTAGTGGTGTTTTGTAATAATTATCCTTCATATCCACGGGTATTCCTGATTCAAATGCCTTTTTCAGAGAAGCTAGGTCTCCTGCCTTGGTGATAAAATTAATATTTGAATATGCTTTCTCTGAATCATCAATGTACCAAGCAGAGTCATCCTGAATGGGATGTTCTGGTGGATGATCCCGATTAAACCGACTGCAGTCAGTTACATTCTTGTAGGTTTCAATCATGTAATACGGTGGCCCACCATCACTCCGGCGTGGAAATGCATCATCAGGAATGATGCAGATTGGGAGGGGTAAAACGAACTTGCCTTTTTTTGCCTTTTTGGCCATCCCTCTTTTCTTTTTCTTAGGCCCATAGGATCCCAAGACATAAGACTTGTTTAAGTATCTGGTTCCCTTAAAGAAATCATTAATATTGATCCCTCCTCCCCGGAATTGTTCGTGAAGATGAGCTATGAAAGACAGCTGTTCTGAGTTGACTAACTCTTGTCTCTCTTCCAGCACCATCACAAAGTCTTCCTTGCTGACTGTCCCGTCACCCCTGTCCACATATGAAAAAGCTCCCCGAAGGAAAGTCTCATATTCTATTGACCAATCATGAAGTCGAAGGGCCCAGAGTGGATTAGGATTTTTGGCTCCTGGCCGGGCCAGTTTATTAGCAATTCGCTCTGCCCGCCTTATTTCTTTGCTTGCTGCTTTGAAGCCACCTTCCTTAGCCAGAGTCCTGGGCGTTTTATGTGCTAAATTCTTCCACTTCAGGTCACATCCTAAAATGTGAAGCATCATTATTATGAATGGTGCCAAGGCACCTGCATGGCTCTACAAATGACATTCATCCAACTGCTTTCCTAGTTCAAATGATTAATCAAAAATTTGTCCCTAAATTATGCATATATAGAGATGAGCATATTTAGCTATTGTAATTACAAAATTAAGCTGTTATTTATTTACTTATTTATTTTTGTGCTTTGCTTTGGTGAATTCAGAGAGATATTTTCAGTTTACGTTATCTGCCCCCCCCGAAGAATTAGGGCATTAACACCTATAGATATTTAAAATAAATACCATATTAGGGCAGTTGCTAAGGAGTCTTGAGGTCAAACAGGAAAAGAATAAGTGTGACAATGGAATTCAGGGAGAGGCTGGACTCGGTAGCTTAAACGGGCCCTTAGAACTCAGAATGTCGAACAATGGCCTGTTTCTTTTTAAATGACTATGACTATAAATCTCTGTGCCATCTAAAACCATATTTTATCTGTATTCTCCATGCAATTTATGTCATTTATATAAGTAGATCTACTGTTTTGTGGTAAGGTCACTAACAGAGGAAAAGGTAATTTGTTCATCAAATCTGAAAGGATCCCAGTATTATATTTGATCAACTTATATACTGAATTCATTTTCCTTTTTGGTTCCTTACTTAAATTCATTAGACCAAAATTATATATAAGTAGTCTCTAAATAAAATAACTTTGTGAATCAGGGGGTGAGGGGATGTCTATTTAGTGCTAGCAGGAGGGCTATGTTGTCTATTAATAAGTGTCTTGAGACATTAAAAGTCTATTACGTATATAAATGTCAGATTATAAAGAAGTTCTTTATAGTGTCTTGGCTCTAGAAAACTCTTGTATTGCTTTGATAACATCATATAATCAAAAATAATTATAATAATTGCTACCCAATCAGTATCTGTAGCAACCAAAACATATAGGCAGCTGCATGTAGAAATAAAACATACCTCTTCAACACTTTATAGTTTTATCCCTTGCCAAAAAGAAAATTAATCACCAATGCTTTTCAAGATTAATACTTCCTTTAGTATTGTCAAAAATTAAAATTTTATACTCAGGCCAATAAATTTCTTATTGATAGAAAAAAATGTAGTGAGACAATGAAGATCCTAAATTTTCTATATTGGACAGTTTTAAGAACAGTGACTTATTGAGAAGGGGTCTTAATAGTTTAATTTTGTAGCATAATGATTCCATACTAATTCCAAGTATGCTGTTTTTACTGAGCTTTTTTGCTTATTCAGGCTGTCTGAAGGGTTATCTACCACTTCACATGCCACTCCTATATTTATCCCAGCACTACGGATCCAAAGATCATGAAAGCAGCTTTATGTCTTTTTCTGCTCCCAGTTTTCTCCTAGTTAGAACCATTATGTGAATAAAAGGTTAACATCTCAGTTTAAAGATCTGAAGGCATTATTTCCTTTCTTTTTGACTTGCAAGACTTTCTCTCCTCCTTTATGATTAGTAAATAAAGATCCATTCATTCCCTTTGTGAACTAAGTTCCTCTGTGGCCAAGATACTCAACTTTAGGTGCTGGTGCTGGAGAATACCAGCAGCCAAAGTTTCATTAGAGGAATTCTCCACGGGGCGGGTGCTGCGCATGCTTCGGGAGAACTACTACCAAGTCCCCTGCTCTGTCCCTGGATATGGTGCTCACACTGTTTACAGGGACTTGTAAATTGCTCCAGCAAGAGGACCAGGGCAAAAGAAGAGCGTATTGAGGAAGATAGTTTAATGTGGGAAAAGAATGCAGCCTTTACACTGAAGCATAGAAGAGACTAAACCCACAGAGTTTACTCAGAAATGAGCATTTTATTGCTAATGTTTTTTTGCTGCTCTAACTGATTTTGATCAAAGATTTTAAAGGTGGAAATTTAACTGGTAACTGCTGCTATGAAATTGGGTCACCCACATAGGATCTGGTGATGTTGTTGTACTTCTGAACATGACACAGAACTCAGAATATTTTCAGACATTTGTTTTAAAACCACAGTCTAGTCTTATGATTCTACCAGGAAGATAAATGTTTTCTGTATGATAGGGTGAGGCCTTTGGCATAGTCAAAGCTCTGGCCATTTGCTTCTCAATTTGCTTTCCATGACTTTGTTTCAGGAGTATGTGAACAATAGAGTACATGTTTGGTGATGTTTGTCTCAATAACAAAACAATCAACATGTATAAGTTAAAGAAGCTTGTCTCAATCTGGGCAGGTCTTTAGTTTTTAGAAATACACCATATTAAAAATGAAATGTCAGAATAAACTGTTGATTGTGACAGCTTTGAAAACTAGACTGAGACGATATATGCATTTGATACATTTTCCTTTCTTTTTTTGTTAAAGGTGTCGATTATTTTGGAGGCTGGAGAAGGAATCATCAGTCTCATTGCACTATTAGTTATGCAAGCACTTTTGTCTTATTTGTAATATTAGTGGGTACAGCATAGGATCTCCAGGTCCCAGTGACTTCTGAAATTTTGTGCCTGTGTTGAGGACAGCAAAACAAAGGCATTTTCTCTGCTCTAATATAGAATCATAAAACTTTAAGTTTTGTCTATTTCTCATAAACTGGAGAAAGAAAACCACTACCATAAAGTTCAGCAGAATGAAGTCCCATCTTTAAAATTTTAATGTACATTCAATTAGCATGTGATTAACACCAAATTGATCCATTTCTTAAAATTTAACTAGTTAATAGTATCATTTTAAGGACTACATAACATATAGTCCTAAATTACAGTTATTTTTAAAAAGCTACATGAAAGGCTAAAATAATGAATATTACTTATATTTCAAATTTTCTATGAAAATTTTTATTTCATATTTCTCCCAATATTTCTCCCATAATTTCAAATCATCCAGAAAAGTTATCTTTCCACTTGACATAATACAGTATTTTTTAATAAAATAATTAAGATTAAAAGACATGGTTTTCAGTGTTTGTCCTTGCTTAGATGGATGTTTATTTTTTTTCAAAAAGGAATGTAATAACTATAAACATTTTAGAATAATTTGTTGACTCATGATTAGATTTTTAACAATAACCTAAAAATATTTGGGAAAATGGATTTTTATCACTTTTAATACCAGATTCATGACTTCACAGAAAGTAGAATAAGAAAAAAAATCAATTTTCTTTCTACATATATGAGTGAGGTTGGCTATTGAAAAACATAAGGAACTGACAAGTGACAGACCCAAAGTCTCTACTTATCTACAACAGCATTGTCTACCAGCGTGCCAAAAGAATTCTTAAAACATGTAGTACCTGACTATTTATTTAGTCAGGGGCACTGAACCCTTCCCCGCTAAGGTTGTTAAATAAAGAAAATGACAACAGCCAACACAATAACCATCCAGTGCAAATGAATCAAAATTATACCTATTTTTCATCAGATTGGCAAAAATATATACTTTAGTAATTAGTTTATGTGTGCCAGGAGATAAAGAGGTTGAAAATTGGTGATCTACAACATGGGTAAATCATAAATACTTTAAGCATAAAATTGCTAGATAGTTTTACCTCGCTGAGCTATATATTTACAGCAATCTGCAAAACCACCCATGGCAGCGTAATGAAGTGGTGTGTTTCCATTCATTGCAATCAGCCCCACGTCTCCATTGTAGGCAAAAAGAAGCTTCAATATCTGCAAAACAGACAGTGGATAATGTAGAGAAATAGGAATGTACATTTACTGAATGAAGACTGCACTTAAACCTGTGTTATCCAATACATTACATGTTAGCCACATGTGGCTATTTAAATTGAAATGAATTAAATAGGAAATGAATCTTAAAAAGACAGTTTCTTAGTTTCACTAGCCATATTTAAAGCACTCAATAGCTGTATGTGGCTACTGTATTATAGTAACAGCAGTTATAGAACATTTTTATCATTGCCAAAATTTCTATCAAACAACATTGAACTCTAGAGTATAAAAAACTCTATATTCAGCTGGGCACTACCATTTTGGTGAATGTAGGCAATTTTAGAAAGCATCAGACTATGGCAAACATCATCAGAGAAGCAAATTCTTTAGCAAATGTAACTTCTTTTGTGATGCATATTTTTATTACAGGGAAAAGACTTAATGACAAAAACAATGTTAACTGTTAAAACTCAGAGAAATTTGAGTAAAGAAATTTTAGATGTCATTCAGAATTTTGAACAGTAAGGCCAGCACCGGTTCCTATTTTTGCAATGTAACTGTTTGGACCTATTAGATATGTCCAGACACTCAGAATACTTAGAGTTTAAAATTTAGGTGCGTCATTAGATGCACACAACAATCAGAGGGATCAGAATATATAGGCATTGTTCTCCCCACAATTAGATCATATTTTTAAGATTATAGTATGTAAAGAAGCATAAAATACAGTAGCTTCAGTAGGTAAAACTTTTAAATTGTCATAGTTAACAACTCAGAAAAAAATGAGTATTATTAAATGTATAAATTAGCAAGCAGATACAGTTGAATAAAGAGCTAGAATATGTTTTTAAAAATAATATTTGGACCCTGGCTCATGTGGCTCAGTGGACTGAGTGCTGACCTGTGAACAAAAGGGTCACGGGTTCAATTCCCAATCAGGGCACATGCCTGGGTAGCAGGCCAGGTCTTCAGTTGGGGGTGTGTGAGAGGCAACCAATCAACGTCTCTCTCACACATTGATGTTTCTCTCCCTTTCCTTCTCCCTCCTTTCCCCTCTAATAAATAACTAAAATCTTTAAAAAATAAAATTTTAGAATTTTTAAAGGAAATCAAGATAACTCCGAAAAAAAATCTGCCTTAATGCAACCTACATACTTAAAATTTTTGAAAATTTTTAACAAATTTTAAAGCAAAAAGCATGTTATTACATCAAAAAAGCCTCCTTTGGCAGCAAAATGTGCAGCATGATGTCTCTCATTATCAAATATATTCACTTCACCTCCTCTTTCCAATATCCCTCGAACTAGTTCTATCACTCCTTCTCTTGACGCTTCCATTAGAGCAGTGCGACCTGTGGACTGGACATGAAACAGATCAAATGGTGTTTATAGGTGTCATGTTAAATGTCGTATTCAGTGTAACTACGATCTAAATCCATTTGGCCTTAGAGTCACTGTCATGTTTAGTTCTCTACATTTTTATTAGTTTTATGGAACCAATAAAAAAAATTAAGCCAGTACAATGGGTGAATATCCAACATGTAGAATTCCAGAATCAGAGTCAAGTTCACACCAGATGTCCCTGTGTGAAAAATGATCTCTTGCAAAGATTGTAGAGCATAAAAGGAGAAGAGAGGGTGAAATACATGCTAAAATTAGGTTACAGGAGCTTTCTAATGAGAAGAAAAGCTGATTTTATTGTCTCAAAATAACAATTAAAATATAAAAAATTTCAATAAAATTAGTCAAATGAGCAGAGGGAGCAAAATGAATAAAGAAAACAGCATAACCACAGATTCTCTTTTCAAAAAGATAAAAATTTTATTAGGCACTAGTGATACCTTGTTTATCTTCTAAAATGATCTTTTGACATTATATATAATAAATAACAATTTTCCAAACATGATAGAAAATAGACTGTAGGATTATGGTAGTATAAATATAATGAAAGTATGTTGACTTAAAGCATTTTGAATAGAAATGAACTGTCTGTACGCTAACAGAATAATTTTACCATATTTAAATGCAAAAATTACCCTGATAAGACTCTATAATTAAAAAAAATGAATATTTATAATCACAGGAATAGTCATACTGAGTTGACAGCATTTGGATTGGCTCCTCTTTCCAAAAATGTCATGCACATTTCTTTAACATCATGTGCTTTTTCGCAGGCTTTAAGGAATACTGGGATTCCTTCGCAGGAAGAGTTGTTGACATCTGCCCCATGTTCCAGGGCAATCAATGCACAGCGATAATGCCTCTTAGTAGGTAAAATGCAGTGAAACAAAATACCTGTAGAAAAATAGAATCCCCAAAGAATACGTATTAATAGTCTCTCTATATTTCTATCAGATAAAAAGAATAATTTTAAAATCCATAATTAGCTAGTAAAAGTGATGGAGCAAAACCATATCTGTCTTTGTTTTCCTTCTGAAACTAACCCAAAACACCAAGATAAAGAAACAGAAGAGAAACTCCACCTGTGACTCCACACTTCACAAGCAAGTGTGGCTTAGAGTTTTACCTTCTTCATATTCTGCAAAATGAAAGACAAAGTACAGTGTAGGCATGGAATATGTCCCACATCCTTATAAAGGTCCAGTATTTTAATCATTTAAGTGTTTGCTTATCCTTTAGAAGCAATGTGCAGTGAGTCAAATATTGGTCCCTGGAAAATGGGATGTTCTGACAGAGAGACTAGTATGGAATAAACAACACAGTTCGGCAAGTGGCAGCCAAACTGAGGGATGTGCGAAGTGAGCTAGGTTCACGATGTGGGGAAGACAAGGCACTCGGTGCAGTGGGCACAGCAAAGGTTATGTAGAATCAAGGCAGAATAGGGCAGTACTAACAAAAGTTATGTTTAAAACAAGATTGTGTATTTGTCTCAGGTTTCATTGTATATTTTGAATTCTTCCTATGTGATTTGTCATATTGTTTCCTGATACACTCATCTCCCAGAACCTTGACAGACTTAACATTAGTTTCAATGAACTTAAATTTTAACCATATGGCTGTCAACATTTGTTACAAATATTCACTTGACCTTGTTTCTCATTTTACCTTGTTTGGTTTTAATTTTACAATTTTAGATTTTTATGCTATACAATTTCTCAACCCATTTTCTTAGTGATTGGTATCTGTTTCAAACTCAAGGAGGTAAACTGTTCTTCATTAAAGTGTTTCCCAAAGTATATTTGACAAAACTCCACGTATAGGAGATGCAATATGGAGAAACTATTTCATGGTCAAATAAATATGGAAAATGTCACCATCATTAGTCTGTCTGACAAATGTGAAATTGACATGCCTAAATTCGTTTTATCTAATCTTTCTCTAATGAATTTGACAGTGGAACCAATTTTGCATGTAGCACTTATCAACATCCCAGTGATTCAGCGATCCATGAAACACACTTTGGGAAATAAGCCTGATAGAGCTGAGAAAGGCTTCTGTGGGTTTTTGTTGTTGTTGTTTTTAGGATATGACATTTTAAAACACATTTGACCACTTAATGCACCTGAAGGTTATTTTGTTACCTGGTACCATTACGTATTTCTTTCTTATCTTTGTTTACTCCTTTTTTTTTTTTAGGAAGTCACTGGAGACAGTTACAAAAGCAGATTCTGTTCCTATCAGAAAATATTAATATTATACAGTTGGATTTATTTCTCTACTGTGGGGCTGATGGTAGCAGCTTGCACTGATGCAACTCTTTAGGACAACTCATGAAATCTACCAGTTTATACTAAGCCTGGTGGTAATTTTCCTAGTGATTTTCTTGAGGCTATGTCAACGCCTGCTGGAACCTAGGGTTGTTTGTACAAGAGGCTCCAGGACCAAGGTCTTGAGATGGGATTGGGGCACGGAGAGCATAGGGTGGGGAAGTAGGGCTATGTCTCCTGAATAATCCTGGAAATTACATCCATGTCTTAAATTTCAAGTCATATTTACAAATTATTTAAAATGACCTCGGAAAGTTGGAGTTTATGCTGGAATCCCCCATAATCCTTCAAATTCCCAAGAGTAACCAACTCCTTTCTACATCAGACAGCAATTGAGAGGAGACAAAATCCTTCTAGACTCCTAAGTCTAATACTACTACTCCAAGTTATAAAATGTAAGAAAGAAAAATAAATGCTCTCCCTTTTTTGCTCTAAACAAGATTTTATGTCTTATAATGGATGATTAAGATTATAATAATATCAACATGTATCATGTTGAAAATTTTCCACATTCAGCAAAACCACCTAACAGATTAATCGAATTCTAATTTTCTTTTTCTTTTTTTAAATTCAATCTTTATTGCATTTTTTCCCCATTACCATTTAGTCCCCTTTACCCACAGAGATTAATTTTCTTTTTAAATGAGAAAACTCTCAGAGCTGGTTTCCCTAAGATTTACCTATACCATTTTCAAACTGTAGGGAGTCAGTATCTTTATGTTACAGGAATAATTCACTTCTAAAGCTGGAAAGCAAAAAAGTCCACTTTATTAATTTCTGGCTAAAAAAAAAATTGCACCTGCCAGGTAGAATGTTGGGATTTTTACCTTTTCCTTCATTATCAACTTTAGTCATATCTGCCTTTGCCTTGGCTAATATTTCCATGGACAATTCATGGCCCAGGTCTGCAGCCCTCATGGTCGGAGTACAGCCCATTCGGTCTTGCACATCAGGGTGAGCACCAAGGCTAAGGAGAAAGCTGACCATATCAATGTCATTGGAAACAGAGGCTAAGTGCAGAGCGCTGAGTCCGTCAACAGGGTCTGTGAAGTTGATTAGCTCAGGGTAACCAAGTTTGATGAGCTTCTCTATCTGCTTCTTGTCTTTGTTCCGAACACACTGAAGAAGTTTATAGATCTGCAGGTTCTCAAGTCTCCGATCTGCTAAAGCCATACTTGACCAGGTTCTTGAAAATGCTTTTGTGGACTGAAACAAATACTACAGCAGAAAACACACACACACACAACGAAAACGAAAACATGTAACTCAAAGTTAATTATGTCAAGTTTATTTTGATTAAATAATATTTTAAGCCTTCCCAAAGAAGAGAGGCTGTTTCTTATAAAATGTTATTATCATAATTGATTGGAACTAATTTCATGATAATAGAAATTACATATAAATACAAAAATCTTCAACTAGCATAAAGTTAAAATATTTTAAAACTAATCTTCCATTAAAATGTATACTATGTAGTTTTCTTATCAATCTCACTTAATCTTCCCTGCTCCACACAGCCTTCCCAGTTACCTAATAACCAGGTGAGGCCAACAAAACTGCCAAAATGAGGACTTGAGCTCCCCACTATGTGGCTCTGTACCAGCATGTCCCCCACAATGGAGAGGCTATACAGGTTTTAGTAGTTAAAACATGTGATAAAGAACATGCAGTATTTTTGAGGTGCTCATTAGAAATGGGAATCTCCTATGTTCTGTGAGATACCAAAGAGATATTAATAGTTTTTTTTGTCATTTTATGTGACAATGAGGTACCAATCTTTTGAATTGAGGAATAGGCCAGGCCAGGTACCTCCAGGCTAGGTACTTTCCTCCATTTATTTTTCTGGGGGAAATAAAACAAAAAACAAAACAAACCGAGACCAAATCATTGTCAAGCCCCGAATCTATCTTATTGCCTCCACAACAGCCTCCTATAGTCCAATCTCTTTTCAATCCCCAGGAAAATCTTTTATAAATGCAGATCAGGCAAGATCAGACAAGTTTCTACCTCAGCCTTTTGTGTAGGGGATACTCCTTCTGTCTCCTATGACAGGAATGGATCTATGACCTAGATTTAGCCTGTGTGAGTGAACACTCTCCCTAGGTACAGTGAATGTCTCAAGAATATACTCAGAAAAGACATCAGCAAATCAGCATCCCATGGGATCCTTCCACCAGAACTGCACAGAAAGACTATTCTTTCTACCCAGTAGTTAAGCAGTGGGGTGCAGGGCACAGCTGCAGGCAGCCATGTTGGCTGTCGCAGAGAGACTGAGTTGGAGAGACTGAGACTGAGGACAGCAGCTGCACTAGGGACTCAGTTGTGCTAGAAGTCACCTACCACCTAACTGTTCAGGGTTGCATGAGTAAAAACACCCTTCCCCCAACCTTCTTTTGGTAGAAGCTAGTTAGCTGGGTTCCTCTCATTTGCAATGAAAAGATTCAATCTTACTACAAAATCTGAAACTGTATCATCTTTTCCCCACTACAAGCCTGCTCCCTTTCCTACATTCCCTATGGTAATGAGTTCAGCTGTTGAGCACTTTTTCCTTCTTTAACTGTGTCTCTCTAGACAACCATAACATCTCCATTGCCTGTTTCCCTCCTACCTTACCACTCCCCCACCTCCCTAGTTTCTTTTGCTGGTCCCCCCCTCTGCTGTTAGAAGTCTAATTGTGGGACTAAGGCCTCAGGACCCTTCCCTATTCTCAGACACTCCCCTGTGATCATATGCCACCTGATGATATTTATCCCAATTTGAAGCTTCTTATTTTTCACTCTTAAATTGATAAAGTCATCTCTGTCTCTCCCCAGAGCTTCAAAATTACATATCTCTCAGTCAACCCTTCACTCTCACTTGGATGTTTAATAGGCATCTAAGTTTAACATGTCCAGAGCAGAACTATTGTTATCACCCAGACCTCCAGTTCTCCCTGTTTCCAGTACATCATCATCCATCCACCTACTCAGGTTAAAAACTAGGAATTACTCTTCATTCTCTTTCCCTCACAGATTCCCTACTCTTTAAGTCTATCAGCAAATCCTGTCAACTCTACCTCCTGACATCAACTTTCAGACAAATCATTGCTAGACTTCTAATTTGTCTCACTGCTTCCACAATAGCCCTCTATGGCTCATTTTCTATTCAGCCCCAGAAAAATCTTTTAAAAATGTAGATCGGATAAGATCAGACAAGCTTCCACCCACAAAAATTTTAGTATAACTATTTTTAAACATAAAGAAAAATTGAACACCCATATATCCACCATGGAGATCCTACCATTAATGTTTGACTTGCTTTATCACACATCTATCCACTGTATTTTTTGATCCATTTCAAAGTATATTGCGAACATAGTCTAGCATACATATCCCTATCTGGAGATCAATATTTGTTTACAGTTCTTGTTTTTCTTTTTGGTCTTTTGAATAGGTAATGAAATGTGTAAGTATTAAGTGTACTGTTCCATGAATTTTGACAAATGCATACATCTTTGTCACCCAATCTCCTGTCAAGATATAGAACGTTACCTCATGTCAGAACAGTCTCTGCAGATCATCTTTTAGAAGCACTTCAATATCTTTCCCTAATAATCAGGGAAAAAAAAAACCCCTTCATGATGACCTCCCCAGTTCTCTTCTCCTGACCCTCAGACCTCACTTCAATCCCCCCTTGAAGTAGTGATCTCCAGCCAGACAGGCCTTTTTTTGTTTATGGAACAAAAGCTCCCTCCTGCCTTTAGAATGTCTTCGTCCCTCAGCCTGGAAGTGCCCTTTGCTCATAATTTCCATTGGTGGGCACTTCTCACCATTAAAACTGATGCCACCATGTTACTTCATTTCTTTTATTTTCTTCATAATGAAATCAAGTATTTCTCTATCTGTAGATGTATAGATACAGGTATATTCAATTTATATGTTATATATCTTCCCCACTAGTATATAGTCTTCATGCAACAGAAGTTTTATAATTGTAATGACCATTATTTCTCCACCAGCCAGAACCTGGCTCACATGAGTCATTCAATAAAAGTTTGCTCAATAGATGACCAAAAGTTAAAAGACTGAAGAGTGGAAGGAATAGAAGAAAATTTGTAGGCTTCTGCCTTGAGCAACTGGCTACCTGTGCCTGAGATGGGTAGCCTGGATGGGGCCCAGACTGGTGAGAGAGCGTAGCTGGTTAGGCTCTGGGCATGCTGAATGAGAATCCCCAAGGCAACAGGGTACACAATTCAGGGGAGACATCTGAGCCTGGTCTACATGGAGCTGTGGGGTTTTCAGGGGTTGCAGGCAGCCTCAGGCTGGGAGAAAGCAAAGAGAAGTTTCATGTGGGAAGAATGGCCACCGCCATCAAATGCATGCTGTTGCCTTGTCTTTCCTTTTTCCTCACTCTTCTGCCTGCTGTTTATTATTTGTGCTTCCTCCTTTCCTGCTCAGACATCAGCCATCACACGGCTTGTGGCTTTACTGTCCTGTTTGCTGTAGCCCCTCTCTTCCCCTCTAATCTGTTTCTAGTATGTGTGGACTAGGAAACCAGTGAGAAAGCTCATTAGAATCATGTGTATAAATAGGCTCCCAATGAGTCCCGAAGTCATCTACTCGGCCTTTGCTGCATGCTTGGTGAGATTTACTTTAGCTGGTGTTATGGCCAGTTTTACTATTACCATCAGTCAAATTCTGGTAGGTGCAGTGTTGTCAGGCTGCATACAGATGTACATCCTACATGGAATAAATGTCATTCTCCTAAATAATTTATTGGTGGTACTGAATCAATGCCACCTCATTGGTGTGGACAGAGACTTCCCAATCAGTGACCTCACTGGTGACTCTGATAGCATCCATCCTGAAAAATTACCATATTTTTCCATGCATAAGGCACGCCTATGTTTTTGGCCCAAACTTTTAGGGAAAAATCTCTCATTTTAATTCAATTTTTTATTTATTTATGTACAGATACTTGTTTTCGTATTATGAAGGAATTTTAGCATTTATTTTTGAACATATTATAGTGTAAGAAATTTTATGTGACAAATAATTACAAAACACAAGAACTGATACAAGGTATTTCAGGAACTACCCATGTATAATGTGTACACTTTTTTTTCCCCCTCAAAAATTTGAGCAGAAAGTGCATTTCATACAGAGTAAAATACAGTAGCAGCATGTGACATTATCCAATCAGGCTACAATGGTGAATTCAGCAATCTGTGGGCCAGTTCTGTGGCTTATATCCCTTCCCAGCTAAAGCCCCAAAATGCTGGGCTAAGAAAGATGCCCTATACAGTGTCCTTCACAACCAACGCCAAGACTGACCAAGAGCCTCGCCTCACTGGAGAAAATAACAAGTCCTGTCCCCTAGGGCTGGGTTGCTCGTCAATTGTGCAGCAGTTCTGAGTCAGGACAGCTGTCACATACACCACGCCCCAGCATGTATATTTTACCTCAGCATGGCCCCGTGGCACTTCGGTACACCCCCATCTAACTATTTATGTGCACAGTACCAGAACAGTCGAATAGAACAGGATTCCTTGACTTGAGGTCTGTGCTTGGGTCTGAATACTCTAAAATATGAAAATCTGTGTGGGGGGAGGGGGTGGGGAGGTGTCCATGTTCATTTTTTCCCTGTGGGGAGAGATCCATGGAGCTCATCAACTTCTCAAAGGAGTCTGTGAGACAAGGGTGTTTTTCAGAAAGAGAAGACATGCTTGGAAGAGAGGAAAGTGTGTAGGATTGGAGGTGGAGGAATCTGTTTTTGTGATACACCCTGCTCTGCATTATAATTTATTCAAACTGGTTGGACAAACCTGGAAAGTTACCCATGTAGTTTGTACTTAAGTCTCTTCATCTGTGAAATGGGGATAACAACAGATTCCACTTTGAGAGGGCTGTGTGAAGAGGAAATGTCCTAATCCTTGTAAAGCGGTTTAGCAAAGTCCCTCAATGCAGGCTCACTGTGGCTAATTAAACTCCTATGGGTCTCAACTCACCCACAAGCCACGGTGTGCATTTGAGAAGGCACGGGGTTCTTAACTGTCCCTTTCAGTTTTGAGTCTCAGAATAATCCGGAGGGGAGGGTGGGAAAGATGTAATTTCAAGGGAAAGGCCAGATGGCAGGGACCAAAGTGCTAAACTCACCTCTCAGTCGTGTGGGTGATCAGGAGTCACTGATGTCCCCGTACCGACGAGCCTAGGCCCCTGGAGGCGCCCGGCGGCCCCAGCTCTCGTTCTCTGCCACCTGGCGCCTACCCCAGCGGCGACCTCAGCCTCCAGGAGCCCAGCTTGAACACCCGGACGTCAGTGGTGTCCTTAGGAACAGAGCAGGCCAGCCAGAGCGCGGAGCTGCACAGAAGGGGGTGTGTGTGTCCATTGGCCCGGGGTTCGCCCCGCGAGAGCGCGCGGTGGTGAGCGCAGGGGGCGCGGGGCGGGAGCCACCCCGATAAGGTCGATTGTGAGCTTCCGCCACGCACAGCAAGGCCGGGTTGCCAGGGCAGCCGCGCAGGTGCGCGGCGGGTTGGGGCTCGTCTCCGCCCACCGCCCCCTGCTAGTCCCGCCGGTTGGCAGGGTCCACACCAGGATGCAGGAGGTGGGTTCAACAACTCTCAAATGTGGTTGCTGCAGGAGCGGTGTGCCCAATGCGAAAGTCCCCAGGGGTCCCCCCCCCCCCCCGTCATTCATCTCCCACCTCCCGACTTCTTTAAAATATATTTTCATTAGAAATATAAAGGTCATATCGTAAAATAAATAAGATACACAATAAAATAAATTTTAAAGTAAAATAAAAAGACAGTAAGTTCTATTATAAAATTAAAAGTGAATCTAGTTGTCAGAGATAACTGCTGTAGATTATCCTAAATCTACCCAGAAATTTTCTTTGTATATCTCAGGGTACATACATGCTTAAAAATATTTATACACAAGTGGGAGCAAAATTATAAGGAAGATCGTTTTATTTCAGGGCCTGCAAGTGTACCCTAATACCGCAACCCCCAACGCAGTTTTGGAGGAGGCAAATTCTTAAAGCTTTTGTTTATGGGAATGTAAAATAAGCATGCTTTAAAAAAAATAGTATGCAATAACCTCCAAATAAAAGCAATAGTTTCCCCACCCCACTCTATTCTATCAATAATTTCTACCCACACTCTGTTTTAAAAATGTTAAGAATTCTTTCAAGAACACAAAAGAATACAATATATGTAACATGGAGAGTATGAAGAACCAAAGCACACCATGGCTAAAGAAACCGCAGGCTGTCTCTACTGCTGGATTCCGTGTCTTTATCCCCAATACCGTGTCCTCCCGGTCTTGCCCTAAGAGGTCATTGCTATTCTGAATTTTGTATTTATTATCCTTTTGCCTTTTAAAAAATGCTTTGCTTCACATGAATGCTTCCCTAAAAATTAAGTATTTAGCATTGCATGTTTTAAGAATTTATAAAAATGTATATTATTTTGGCCTTTCTTTTCTTTAACATCATATTTTTGAAATGTGACTTTGTGCTTATAGTTTCTTTACCATTCCACAATTCCACTACCCTTTTAAATTCTTATTGTTGATGGATATTTGAGATACCTTCAGTATTTGCCAGTAAAAGCAGTGCTGCTATGATTGTGTTTGTACATGTCTTTAGATGCACAAGTTCAACAGTTTCTCTAGGGTAAATTTCTGGGTCATAGGTTATTTATAACATTAAGATAATGTGAACTGGTTTTCCAAGTATACATAGCAATTTAGACTCTCATTAGCAGTGTGTGTCTTCACAAAACTTGGTTTTGTCATACTTTACACTTTTTGACAATCTAGTGGGTATAAACTGGCATTTCGTGATTTTATTTTTGCACATTCTAATTACTGATTGTTAGTGTGAGAGCTTGGTTCCTTGGAGATATTTGAGTGTAATGTTATTGGCAAGCCACACAATTCACCTTCAAATGCTTAACACAAGTCTCCCTTAGATTATTTTAGCAGAATCTGGAGACCATTTCTTGAATTATTGTCTCTTAGTGTAGGAAAAATCTCACAGTTGAGTTTGGGTTGTTGACCTAGTGGAATTTAGTAATGAAGAGCAAGTAAGTCATTCAGTTTACATGGGTCTCAGTTTGTAAATCAGAATAAGATGAACTGCCCTATAAGTCATAAAGGAAGTAGGCAGAATAATGAATGATCTTATCTTGGCTCTTGTAGACACATATGATTGATTTTTGGGGGAATGTTTCTATAGACGAATAGTTCTGTGTTACAGGTTGTCAATGTATGATGTTTACAATGATAGTCTTTCTCATTTGGAGACAAAGTTGATGTCAATGGTGGCATTGTTTAACTCTGGAGAAGTTTCCTAAAGTTATTTGAGGATCTGGTAGATTTGGGAATAAACACATCTAGAAGGCTGAAGGGAATAGATTAATAATGTGTAAGGTATGCTTGGGTTTATCGGAACTGTTGGTGCAAATATTTTGAGAACTTGGGTAAACATTTGTTAGTTGAATGAGGCCTTGGAGATAAGCAAAACAGCCTGACTCACTTTCCTAATGTGGTTTCAGGTAAACTTACTTTCATTTTCATAAAAACTTTGATGTTATGAGCAGGTAGCTGAAAAGTAGCTTCCCAACAGATAATCATATTTGATTTCAACCTTTTTGTAGCCTAGGGAGGACAGATATGACAAGCTACTTAAATTTACCAACTTTCTACTAATGAGAGAACAGTTGTAACATGGCTAAAATTTTAGAGATCTTGCAGAATAGTAAATGGGCACAACCTTTCCCTTCTTTCCCTAGATGTTATAAAAACACTGCAAAGTTTTTAACTTGAACCTTATTTGTTTATTTTTGCCCTTAGCCATTTGGCAGTAAGTTATTAGGATTTGTGCAACACAAAGGAAAAATGGGAGTAAAGGGAATCTGTTTAAAACAGAGAAGTGGCAGAAAAGTTTATTCAGTTCTTGCCAAAAAAAAACTACAAGACAGAGATGCATGGGCTAAATACTCTCCCAATGATCTAACTTGAGCTTTGATCTTTATCTGATATTAAATAACATTTTATCTTTAAGTTACAACTGTGGCAAAAGATTGCACATTTAGTATTTCTTTCTTTGACCCACATCTTCTGCAAAATATTTGATACATGATAGTGATTTTGTTGAATTACCTCACACATCTTTATTAAAATTGTCACTAAAATTCAATAACAAATTGCATTAACTACCAGAGGTCTTAAACAAGAATTTACTGGCCTGAAAAGCAGGCCAGATTTCCATGAATTAATAACTGGTGTGGTATACCAGTGGCTGATGGTAAATTTAAATGGAAATAAAATTTGTTGAATCATTATGGATCTTTCCATAAGATTAAGGCAAAGTTAGTGGAGTTTGTGTGATCTTTTCACAAATATTTACAAAATTCACTTTTTATAATGCCATTTTTCCCTCTAAAAACAAATAAACTTTCAGGGTGCCTCTGTGTTGTAGGGAAGGCTATTTACTAGTTGGCATTGCACATTGATTTACAACTTTATGCATTGTACAAGTAAATGATGGATTGATTATAGATATTTAGTTGTTTCTTTCCAAAAGAAAAATGGAAACATATCAAATAGCTTTGCAATGGAGAATAAATTAGTTGACAATATAAAGCACTGCTTAATACTTCCATGAAAGACTTAGATGGAATTTTTCACAATATATTGTAGCAATTACAAGACACCTCTTGAATGAATAAATGCTGAGCAACTATCCGTTTGGAATATGAGCATCTTGTGGATAAATGTATTCATATCAGGATCCACACTTTTCTCTGGCTTAGAGTAAAGTCTTCTAAGCTCATATGGGAAAAATTTTGTGAATAAACACCTCACAGATTCTCTTGTTTCTGAGCATATTTTCATTATTTTAGGCTATGGCTGTATTATTTAGAATTCCAATGCACTTGGAATTCTAAGTAATTTTTTAAGTACTGTATCAGTCTACTATTTTAGCATATATGAAATCTCTTACAGTAAGTGTATTTTTATCAAGCTTTCCTTATATTTCTAGTCATTTTTACTGCCATAATGTGCATGTACATTTATAACATCTGATTCCCAAATTTCACCTTTTATTGTTACATGTCTCTCCTTTTCCTAGGTAGTATCAATAGCCATTCATTTCTTCTGCTCTAACATTCTTTACTTTTTGTTTGCCTTATTCCAGTCTCTTATTTTTTAACTTTCATTATCAGTTTTTTTATATTTCTTGTGAATACTATGTAGCTAGCTTTTCCTGTTACCTATTTAGTACAATCTGTTTCTGCTTTTTGATGAGAGACTCTAATACACTGGCATTTAGTGTAACAAGGGATAAACTTGATTTTAGTCTTTTAATCTTATTGCTTATTATTTACTCTGCTATGACCTCTTTTTTTTTCTTTATTTTATGATTGGCTCAAATTCCTCCTTGTTGACTTGGGAAATTTCAAGAATGTTTCCACCCCATTAGTCACCTTCCTTTTTCAGGTGTTAATCATCTCTTTTTTCATTTTATAAAAATGAAATAAAACTTTCCCCCATTTATTTCCAGATACTTTGTTCTCCAAGTTCTTTCTTTAGTCTAAAAAGGGATACTGTCACTTCCCCATGTTATCCTTCCATTCTTAGATGTGATCTTGGGAATAATTTTACTTCCCTCCAACCTTCTACTCAGCTCCAGTTCTTGAGTTTGGCCAAAATAACTTAGAATTTCTAATTCCAGACAATTGTTATACTATCATTGGTAGTATGAATCTTTCATGTCAAAGCATATGACACATTCCCACACTTTGCCTCCTCACATAACCATAACAAGGATTACGACTAACCTCAAAACACAAAACATCCAGAACTCCCAGAAAATCAAACTGTATGGAAGTCTGACTACCAAGGATTTAAAGAAAAAACATTCATCCCGACAGATAGGAGGGGTGGAGCTGGGGAGCCGGGGCGGAGCGGACATGGTGTGACAGCAGCAAGGCCCCAGCAACCAGGCAGTGGTGGCTGCAGCCAGAATAGGTAGTCCTCCATTAGGGATACCAAGGCCAGACCTCGCAGCCCAGGGTTCCAACACCAGGAAGTAAAGCCCCATCACTGCTGGCTATAAAAACCAGTGGGGGTTTGAGCAGTGGAAGACACTGCTGGTCTCTCAGAAGAGTCCATTTAAAGGGCTATCATGGTCCTAGAATGTGCACAAACCCACCTACTCTGGGAATCACCACCA